ATATTCAAATGACTAAAAACACAAACATTAAAAAATAAATAAAAATTATACGATTGATTAGAAATCTTAATTAAAATAGGAGGTTGCATTTCAATGCATTTTATGTTTTCCTTCTAGGAAATACATATTAATTTCATAAATTAGCATTAAAATCAAATAAATATCAAAGTAAATCTCAGTATGAAATTTATAAGAATGATCATATTTGAAAGATCGAATATTGAGATTGTGCTTCTTTGAGAGCGTCAACATTATTTTCAAAAAATAGTGTATTAAAATTGCATTTAATATGTGTAAAACATTTGCTTCTATCCAACTATTCTACTAGTCTTAACATAAATAATTTCTTCTTCAACGAGTACTAACACAACAATTTTTTAGAAATAATATGTATAAATTTGTTCTTCAAGAGAAAAATACAATATTATTTTAGAATATGAATTTTGTTTCTTTTACAAGAACAAGGATATATAAAATAATTCATAAGTAATTATATTATATTCTTTTTAATATTTGTATATTTATATAGTATTTCTTGACTAATATCAATATATTTTATTTATACTGTTCATATAAAGTTGTGTTTCTTCAAGAATAACAACATAATACTATTATGAAATATAAACAGAGGGTAATGCTTCTTTCAGATCATTAACACGATATTCTTCTTTTATATTTTGAACAAAGCAAATTTATTATCTACTATGACATCACAAGGGATCAATGATTGTATAGTTGACGAAAGTGAGGGTTCTGTCATCGCCAGTAATTCTTATGTATCATTAAAACAAGAAATAATAGGCATAAAAAAGTCTCCCCTTACAACATTGATGACAAATTTAAGCATATCAAAAACCAGTTAATAGAAAAAAAAAAATCAGTGGTGCTACAAAACGTTATTCGTAAAAGAATGATCTTTCTTAATGAAGAAGAATACATATTTAATAATTCGAATAGAGCTGGAAATGGGAAAAATGGTTCTTAGAATGAGAAATCAATTTTATTCTCAACACAACCAAAGTGGCAGGAAAAAAATTTAGTATTACATCGTTTCTGCTAATGTAAGAGTTTAACATTCTAAAAGGTCTTCTAGAAACAAGCTCTAACTAACAACTACACAAACAAAACAATAGACATATAGTATGCATCATTAATTTTAGTTGCCAAAGGTATCATACATAGGTGAGTTTTATAAGGTAATAAACTTCTATTGCAACCTCTTTCATAACTGAATTTTATTGCGACCTTTGAGGAGTTGTGAACTTTTCGTGACAAACAAGTTAGAATGAAATATTAAAAAACATATTTGAGGTAGGTCACATTACCATACAACATATTAGACTTAAGAGTCACGAATGACTGTTTTAAATTCTTATAGTACACATCGTTCCATATTTGGATAAAATTAAAATAACACAATGAAAATCACAAATTAAATTATTTCATTAGATTACAACCTATGTAAAAATTCATAAATAACATATCAATACTCTCCAATGACTTAATCGATAAAATTACATTACACCAATCCAAATAAAACAATCTAAATATTGGTAATGTTCACAAGAATTCCTATATGAAGACAAACAATAAACGATTACCATCAAATGCACATTTTTCGGTTCAAGATTTACAAGAACAATGATTGATAAGTGTGGTTTCTACATTTATTCGAGGTCATAAATGATGATATTTTACAATTATTTGGATAAAATACTACCTAACTTGTGTTATATTGCATTTTGTAGGTAAAACTCAACGTTTGATGAAAAATTGGAGAAAAGAATGCAAAAATAGTTAAAAAAAAGGC